TTTCATTCAATGCCCTAAAAATTTGATGTAATGGAATGTAAGACTCATTCGCTTTGCTAATAGGCCATTTTCTCATCTCTCCCAAATAATATTTTAATATTACAGGAACACGCCGCTCCTTTTCCTCTTCATTTCTGTAAGAAACACTCCCAAATTCTATACTTTATTTCTAAGTTTGCAGCATGTGGGCCCCTGGCCAGCTAGACCTGTAAGCCTTTCTATAGCTCTTCTATTGTTTGTTTATATTTATCTACCTGAGATTGAAATTGTTGTGGAGGCATAGCTAGCCTCTCTTCTATATAGATGAGTTATGGGGATTTTCTAGCTTCCATCTCTTTGAGCTTAATACTTGTGTTGATGTTTCAAAATGTCTTCCCTGATTTGGGAGTTCAGACATGTTTTCTTTTGGGTGGCAACTAGGTCTCTGAAAGATAGGTAGTGAGCACTGTTTTTTAGAACTCAATTCTTATACAGGCATACCTTGTTTTGTTTTGTTGTCCTTTATTGCACTTCGCAAATACTGCGTTTTTTACCAATTAAGGGTTTGTGGGAATGCTGCATCTAGCAAGTCTGTTTGTGCCATTTTCTCAACAGCATTGTTCACTTCATGTCTCTATGTCACACTTTGGTAATTCTCGTGGTATTTCAAACTTTTTCATTATTATTATATTTGTTATGTGATCAGTGATCTTTGATGTTACTGCCATGACTCACTGAAGGCTCAGATGATGGTTAGTGTTCTTTTAGCAATAAAATATTTTAATACACTGCTTTTTTTTTTTTAAAGAAAAACACATAGTGCCATTGCACACTAAATAGACTGCAGTGTAGTGTAACCATAATTTTTATATGCAGTGGGAAACCAAAAGATTTGTGTGACTCGCTTTATTGAGACATTTGCTTTATTGCAGTGGTCTGGAGCTGAACCCTCAATATCTCTGATGTATGCCTATATATATGTGCCAAGGAAGGATTCACCTTATTGAAAGTTACCCGGTACGGTTGTCTGTTGGTATCTGTGGGGGATTGGTTCCAGGACGCTGTCGGATACCAAAATCCACCAATGCTCAAGTACCTTATATAAAATGACATTGTATATTACTTAGGCACATACTCTTATATTCTTTAAATCATCGCTAGATTATTTATAATATCTAATACTATATAGATAGTTACTGGTACATGACAAATTCAAGTTTCACTTTTTGGAACTTCCTGAAAAATAAAAAAAATTTTTAAATATTTTCCATTTGTGGTTAGTTGAATCCACAGATGCAGAACTGGCAGATATGGGGGTCCAACTGTAACTTTCAATATGAATCCTTTGTAAAGTGAATAGAGCATCTACTGAGTTCTAAGATGAACGTTCATCTCCCCCCATGTTTAAATCAGAATGCATCAACCAATCAGGGGTTGATGTAATGTGCCTAACTCCCTCTCCGAGAAGTTCTTTTTATAAAATAGTACCTTAGAGTTAAGGAAGTTTACTTAATGGCTACTATGGATTAGGGACTGTGATGAGCACTTTCTGCAACGATTCACTGATTTAATTCTCAGGGTTGGAAGTCCATGTGAGCTTTTTATTCTTCCTGATAATTTGTGGCTCTGAGTTTGGTTGCTTGAGGCTTGTGGGGAAACCCTTGCCCTTGGGTCTGTACAGAACCAACACAGATGTAGTGTCCTTGGATGCCCAGAACCAGACATAAGAGGTAACACCCTTAGCAGGCCTGTCTCCTCTACCCCACTGTGTGGAATCTGTGTGTAATGTATGTTTTCTTTTTCTAAAACCGGGATGGAGCTTGGAACAGCAAATATTTAATCAGAGCAGATTCCCCTCGCTAAATCCTGCCAGCTTGTTCAACTCGGAGATTCTTTGCCTAAAAATATTCACCACGTACTGAAGGCTAAATGACTAAGTCACCCACAGAGCATAAAGCAGGTCTTCGTATTTGGAGCAGGGGGTTGTTTGCCTACTGATATTTTAGATGAAGTATGCAGTGCCACATACTCGCCCTTTGATGAGCCTAAGGGCCTCTGGCGGTAAACAAGGGTTTTAGGGGAGGGGGGATTTGTGGGGGATGGTAGGGTAGGCGTTCAGGCCTGCTGGCAGTAGCATTCTTGAACTGATCTGAGAAGAAGAGAGAAGTGGGTGTGGGGTAGGGAGGTGGAAAAGAGTCTAATCGGGAATGATGGGCTGGTGTAGACGAAAGGGATGCTGCCATGCACGTGTTACAGTGGAAGTGAGGGCGGTGGTGTGCAGCAGGGATTAGCTTTGCTGATAGAGTGGGACACGGAAGGGAGGGAAAAGAAGAGTTCCATGAATATTGCAGAACGGTATGAACAAAACCGGAGTGAGGTGGCATGGCGCCTCCTTTTACAGATTTAACGCAGTGTTACCTCCTTATTATCGGTACCACTCATACGGGTGCAGCTTTTGTTTCCTGCTAGAGGCTCTGAAACGTTCACTTGTGTGGCGTCCCCCGTTACTTCAGTATATGAGGATCTTAACCATGTGAGTTTACTCAGTCACTGTGAAACACTGCTAAAAATTCAAGGTCCTTCAGAAGGCCCTTCCTGACTTCTCATTACCTGTGTGAGGGCACTTCCTGTATCCTGTATCCTTGTCGCTATACTGAAGCAATTTCCAGACCAGCCGTTCTCACTGGGGTGCTCCAAGGCGCTTCCAACCCTATATGTTTTTTGTTTTTTGGGTTTTTTAAATTATTTTTTTTCAGCCCTATATGTTAAAAGCAAACTCCCGATCTGTTCTTTTCAGTTCCACTCTTTGTCCTCTGCCAACCCTACTCCCCCATCACCCCAAACAGCTTTAAAAAAGCAGAAGAGAACCCTCCCCCCGTCCTTCACTTTCTCGCCATCCCTACAGTCCTGCCAACTATGACTTCTAGCCATAGAATTTCTGTTTTCTCTGCTAGTAGTTTACCTTCTTTGACTGTTATCTGGACTGTTAATCCAGTGGCCCTCTAATTTATCCTCCTGCCTCGAACCTGTCCCTTTCCCATATGTTCTCCACTTTGCAGCCAAAGGCATTCCAGCTTAAATAGTTGTTTCCCTTACAGGGTGGGAGCCAGACTCCTTAACATGGCATATACACCTGGCCCTTCCCCGCAAGACCCTGCCTTCTTCTGAGCTTCATCTCTTGCTAAGGAATGCTTTTTTAGCATAAATATGTCCCAGGCAATATTTAGTCTAAGTATGTCCCAAGTGGTGTTATATTAAAAAATTAGTTATTATTTATCCACAATTTAAATTTAACTAGACATTCTGTATTTTATTAGGCTTAGTATTTTACCTGGCTTGGTCAAAAATATAGTAGTGTCTCTCTTTATGCATTTATTTCTTGCTCTGATCAAAAAGAAATTGGAGTTGCAGGAACTTGCTGACTGCAAAATATTTGGCATTTCTTTATGAAATCTTTTTTTTTTTTTTGGCTGTGCCGCGTAGCATGCAGGATCTTAGTTCCCCAACCAGGACTCATACCTGTGTCCCCTGCAGTGGAAGTGCGGAGCATAACCCCTGGACCGCCAGGGAAGTCCCATGAAATCTTTTATAGCTATTCATGGAAATGGAGCTATGCTAATAGGGTCTCAGTATTAATGCTTTTTTGCCTGAGACACTAATTTTGAAAAACGTGCTTTGTTTGGAAAAGCATGTTTGAGATTCATGTGTAGTAATGATTGCAGCTCTTTTCTGAGGGAGGGAACCCTCGTGGAGGAAGATGAACTGCAATTAAATGTAGTCTTCCTTCTGTTTATGGAAATCTTAATAACCTCCACTGTTGTTGTTTCTTTAGGATATTTTCTGGAGAAGAAACTAAATTATCATGCTTCAGTTTTACCTCTAGTTTTATGTCATTGTTGTCCTGTTTTGTTTTGTTTTTTTCTTGTGAGTAAAGGCTGTAATGTGATTTTCAACTTATTTTCTGTTCTAAAGAGTGTTCAGCTTTGATGTTGGTAAGAAGCAAGTTTTTTTTTTTTAACACTGACTAAATCTTTATTTTCTGACATTATTAGAAACGTGCTGCTTGTTCTCATAATGTAAGATTTTAATTATTCTGATAATGTAAGTGGGTTTTACATTAAAACCTTCTAATTGTACTAGAATAAACCATTATCAACATTTATCAGAAGATTAAGGTCCATAAATAAAGAGCTCCAGTGGATCAAGAAAAAAAATCCAATTAACTGCCAATTCACAGAGAATAATACAAATGGCCATAAATTTAAGAAAAGGTGAACCTTACTAGTAATGAGGAAGACGGACATTAAAACAAGATAGCGGTTTTTAACCTTTAAATTTGGTGCTCAGGTTGGGAATGTGAGCAGTCTCAAATATTACTGGTAGGATGAAAAGGCAGACTTTAAAAGTGTGATTTGACTTTATCTCTTGAAATTTTAAAATGTAGATAATACTTGACCCACTGATTTCATTTCCAGGTCAGGAGCTTATCCTATATAAATAATGGCATATGTGCAATTATTCTCCATATTTATGCATTTCAAGAAAAATATACCTGTGGGACTTCCCTGGTGGTCCAGTGGGTAAGTCTCCGAGCTCCCAATGCAGGAGGCCTGGGTTCGATCCCTGGTTGGGGAACTAGATACCACAGGCCGCAACTAAGACATCTGCAGGCCGCAACGATAGATTCCGCACGTCTAAGACTGGCGCAGCAAAAATGAATGAATGAATAAAGAAAAATATACCTGTGTATTATAAGTATCATTTTTTAAAACTCTGATGCTGGATTTCAGAATTCCTTAGGAGTAAGTGGAGGTGGAGTGGTATGTTATGAGCACTATATTTTTAAGGAAGATTCAGAGAAAGAAAGAGGTCTTTGGAAGAGAGACTTTCTTCTCAGTCTTAATTTCTCTCTGCACATGGTGTATTTCACATTGGATTTTGACTTGTAGGCTGAAAGAACACTCCACTGGTAGCCCTTCTTTTCCTAGTTTTAACAAATTACTTTTTCTCTTTTTCTTCAGATCCCTTTTTTCGAAGATATCTGTAAAGGCATTAAAGCTGGCGACACCTGTGAGAAGCTGGTGGGGTATTCTGCAGTATATAGAGTCTGTTTTGGAATGGCCTGTTTCTTCTTTATATTCTGCCTCCTGACCTTGAAAATCAACAACAGTAAAAGTTGTAGAGCCTATATTCACAATGGGTGAGTCTTTGTGGGGATCCTTTCACCCTTCCTTATATTCAGAGCAACGTTCCAGGACCCCTTCCACTCTTCAGACCCTCTGACTGCTTTCCTCTAGTTGAAATTGTTGACACTGATTTTAGGGAAGGTGGAACTTATACTTACCACACAGTGGCCTAAGAACTGGAATCCTATTTGTAACACCTGGTACCATAATGAGAAATGCATTGGAGATAAGAGTTTATTTCTTGGACCAAGAGCTTCCCCCAGGTCACTTCCACCCCTGCAACAAAATGGTCTTGCACAATCAGAGGCCACACTGAAGTGTGTCTAATTATGGGAAAAGGCAGTCTCCAGTCACTTAATTACTTCCCCTCCATTTGGAGAGGACAGAATTGTGAATTGACACGGTTACCTCTGAGAGGTCTTTTGTCCTTCCTTGACTATCATTTAAATACATTTCCTTTTTTTCTCTTCCCCTCCAGCTTTTGGTTCTTTAAACTTCTGCTGTTGGGGGCCATGTGCTCAGGAGCCTTCTTCATTCCAGATCAGGAGACCTTTCTAAATGGTACAAATGGGGTATGGGGGGTATCTATTTATTGTGTTTTTATTCACTTCGTAAGACTGTTGGAAAGCGTAGTCCAGGGTGCCTTTGATATTGTAGGTTACTAACTTTCTTGTAGCTTAAAAAAAAAAAAAAATCCTGCCTCAGCTGCCCACACTTCACCCACCCTCTGTACTTCCTCCCCACCCCCCACTTCTCCCTTCCTGGGAGGGGTGAGAGGACCTTTAGTTACTCTGCCGGTTGAAGAATTGAAATTAAGGTTATTAGCCTGAAGGAAAAATGAAGCGCTTAAAACTTGTTTGCAAACTAGTTTATCATGTCAGCGTGACCCAGGGAGACCTTGTTCTTTCTGAGCACTGCACACAAACCCAAGTCTTCTTAGCAGCTTTAAATCTGCTTGTAGCTATAATGGGGTAAGAAAGGCATCCTTCAGACTATTTCTAAACTTGCCTTATGTGAAACTGTATACACTGAATTATATTCCTTATCAATAGAACCTACCAAAGTGATTTAATATAATGCATTCAATCATAGCTGAAACAAGGGTCCTTTCTTCATATGAGGTAGGGAGGAGAAAAAAAGCCTGAGTTTTAGAGGTTCAGAACACTGTTCAGACCCAAATGGATTCACTTTCCTTATTAAGATAGTAAAAATATTCACATTGTGAATAAGGAACAGCCATAGTCCCTCAAATAGCCACATATCAGGCTCCAGCTAGTTTCTTAGGGTCATACCGGTTTTATGTACTCCTTAAGGAAGTTGTATCCAAGTTGTCTTTTTACCTAAAATACTGGTAACTAGTTTTCTATTCTCCACAGAGGTCCTTGTATATAATAGAATAATATACTTAGAATGGGACGGGACCTAGCTGTCCATCCTTTAGAACAGCTCAGTTGTATTATAGACAACCCAGAGAAGTGATGCGCTTCTCCAAGGTTTGGGCTTCTCTGTGGCCGAGCCAGAAGTAGAACCTGAGTCCGTAGCCCCCATTTGAACCTCATTTCCTCACTGGACATTGGTGGGTCTCTATCCGGTAAAATTTGAATCCTTGGTTTTTCTGGCATTGTGTGATTTTACTTTTAAATTGAGGGTCATTGTTGATTTTATGAATTACTGCATCTGTTAGGATATCTGGCATTTATTTATAGCATGGAGGTGAGGCTTGGATGCTGTGGTGCCAGATTGCCTGTGTTCACATCCCAGCCCCGCCCTTTACTGGCTGTGGGACCTTGTCAACTTACGTGTAGACTCTCAGTTTTTCTCATCTGTAAAGTGGGTCTAATAGTAGTACCCACCTTGTAGGGTTGTGTGGGAATTAAATGTGTTACTGGTACAGGGAGCCTGCAGTAAAAATTAACTGTTAGTCATTACTCTCATTTGAGTTAAACACTTGGGACAGTCACCTCATCTCCTTTCGGACGGTCTTCTTTTGCAGCCTGGCGCTATGTGGGAGCCATCGGAGGCTTCCTGTTCATAGGCATCCAGCTCCTCTTACTTGTGGAGTTTGCACATAAATGGAACAAGAACTGGTATGTGCCTTTATGGAGAGCTTCCACGTGAACTCACTCTCTGACTCAGAGAAAGTGCCCATTGTTGACAGAAGCTCTACCCCGAGTTGTATTGCCAGGGATTAGCAGCCTGCTTACACCAAAAACAATTTTTGCTTGTTCTCTTCCTTCCCTCCTGCTCTTTGGACCTCTTCATTTACTCCTCTCCCATACTGTTTTTCTCACCTTTCTACTTTTCCTTTTTCCACTTCATTTCTTTTCACTCTTTGGCTCTCTTTTCCCTGTACCCTCTCATTTGGGCTCTAAGACTTAGCCACACTCAACCCCACTGCTGGCACCTCGCAGCCCCTGCTCCGTGCTTGCGTTAGTGGCTGAAAATTTGGGTAGGCTTTATCTTAGGCTCCCATCCTTAGGAGATTAAAAAGGAAAAAGTACTTTGGAGCTGGAGGTTCATTTTCTGCAAAGAATATTCAATGAAACAGTGCTTTTCTTTTTAAAAAAATTTTTGTTCCTTCTCAACTGCCTAAGAGGGGAAGGGCCCCTTCATTAGGGAGATCTGTTGTTCTACCTTAGAAAGCCTCCCCGACTTTAAAAAAAAATACAGACCCTTTTTAAGTGCCTTGAAAATAGAATTCACATCCTAGAATACATGGGGAATGCCAAACTATTAATGGCTCGTTTTATTTCTTGCTGAGCCACACTGAGGAAGTGACAGCTAGACAGGGGTCCAGCTCCTTCGGTGCTAAGGCCAGGTTGACTCTCTTTGTGACTCTGGGCAAAGCACTGAAGTGCTCTGTCTTACTTTACTTATAAAATATGAATGAAAATAACTGCCTGCTATATCCAGTAAGGCTTTTGTAATTTTGTAGATTTTGTAGGCATCATGTTATTTTGTACTGTTTGGATGGATATCTGAAAGTTCTATATGAATGTGAATTTTATTTTTTATTTTGGACAAAACAAAATATACTGTCCAAATTCTCTCAAAACACTTTTCATTCTGATTATATTCCTCAGCTTGGTAGTAGTAGTTGTTTTGTTTTGGTCTTGTTTTTTTGAAAATCGAATCATGAGATGCCTGAGTGAAAAGATAGGTTAAACATTTTATTATTTGGTAAATATTGGAGTAAGCACCCAAATACCAATTTAAAAATGTTTGCAGCACGTTGAATAGTCATACAGGTAGCACTACAGGCATGTTTTGGTATTTTTTCAAATCTTTATTTTTGTGGGGGGGGGGGGGCCGCGCTGCGCAGCATGTGGGAAACTTAGCTCCCTGACCCGGGATTGAGCCCGCGCCCCCTGCATTGGAAGTGTAGAGTCATAACCACTGGACTGCCGTGGAACTCCCCTCAAATCTTAATCTCTATGATAATACAGATTTCTAGGTCTGAGTATATATATAAGTTTATTATTGCATGCTGTCCTGCATTTTGAGTCATCCCTGAAACCTAGTATGTTTGGGGCTTCTACTAGATCTTGTTTCGAGGCAGCAAAGTTTTCCTAAAGATAAGTCAAATGGTTGACTATAGTTTTATGTGACCCTGTTCTCAGTTATGCAGAAGAAATATGCACAATAAGTTGGAAATGCATTTTAATTGATTAAATAACATTCTTTCCATTGATGATGATTCTTTTTTTTGCGGGGGGCGCGGCGCTGTATCATGTGGCTTGTGGGATTTTAGTTCCCAGACCAGGGATCAAACCCGGGCCCTTGGCAGTAAAAACGTGGAATCCTAACCACTGGACTACCAGGGAATTCCCTGGTGATTCTTATGTACTTTCATTCTGAATTTTTTATTTGACCAAAGGAATGCATCACCCTATGTTTTTTCTAAAATTTTTAGAAATAAACTTCGAGGAAGTTATGATAAAATACTAATAACTTTGATACTGAGTGCCTGACTTGCCCATTAAATAGTATGCTTCCTTGAGAATACTTGTGCTTTACTCTGACTTTAATGTTTTGATTGATTCTGAAGCCATTTTCTGGGACTAATTATCGATGCCAAGTTTTAACGGGCATTTTGGAAGAGTTTGATTGCTTTAAAAACTTTCCAGAAACCAGCCAATAGGAATGGCTTAAGAGCTTTGCAACGATTGATGTTGCTGTTGTCCCAGCTTTGAGGCCAGTGTCCCAGCAAAATCTCTTTTGTCCACATACTCACAGCTGGTTGGTCTGCCTAAAATTAGGATTAAGCTAGGAAACGTACAAGAATTGTTATTTTTATGTAGATTTATCTAATTTAGTTTTTTTGGGTGTGTTTTTTAACAGAGATTCTTGCTTACAAGGTTAGTCTAGAAAATATAATGCTTGTATCACTCTTCATGGAACAACCAAAATTTTTCTTCCCTTTTCCTTTCTTTTTTTCTCCTTTTGTAAAGATCTTGAGAAGGAGAAGACTCCAAAGGCAGTAGGATAGAAAGGCCATGGGCCTGGACACAAATGCTGCAGATTTTAATGCCCCTGGCTCTCTGGCTGTTTTACTTGAGGCATATGACTTGGCCTCTCTGACCTCATTTTTTTTTTACCTGAAAAATGTTGTGGTTGGGTGACGTTTAATGTGTTTTGTTCTTTGGTTAAAAGGTAAGCTGGGGCATATTAAAATTTTTTTAAGAGTTTGTCCGAGCAAAAATTGATTCAAATTGGGCACCCTCCAATCCGGCAGATAGAAAGGAGCTCTGAGGAGCTGTACAAAATAAAAGACGTTTATAGGCAGCAGAGAGCAGGGACAAGGAAGTTATATTAGGCAAAAAAGCAGGTTGGTTATTGTGAGGTAACTTTCCTTCAGGGGATGCCAGGCGTCTACCAGTTAGGTGACATAACTAGTGCTGATCAGGGGATTCCTGATTGACTGGTTTAAGATTCCGTTTCTGGGAGAGCTGAAACTCTAAGTTGTGTTGGTTTGGTGATGTGGGGCTTAGCATAAGCGACTCCTTTCTAAGCCTGTTGTCTTGTTTTTGACACTTTCTAGGTCAATTTTTATAATTCGAAGCATCAGTTCTATATAAAAACTGAAATAACAAAAAGTAAACAGTATATTTAGGTGTTTCTTTTTTGGAGGGAGTTGCATTTTTTTTAAATTAATTAATTAATTTTTTTGGCTGCATTGGGTCTTTAGTTGTGGTGAGCGGGGGCTACTCTTCGTTGCGGTGCACGGGCTTCTCTTGTTGTGGAGCACGGGGTCTGGGCACACAGGCTCAGCAATTGTGGCTCATGGGCTCTACAGCACAGGCCTAGTAGTTGTGGCACATGGGCTTAGTTGCTCCGCGGCATGTGGGATCTTCCTGGACCAGGACTTGAACCCATGTCCCCTGCATTGGCAGGTGGATTCTTAACTACTGTGCCACCTGTGCCTATTTAGGTGTTTCTAATGAAGACCCATTTTCTAGATTTTATTTATTTATTTATTAGATTTTCTAGATTTTAAATTAATGTTGGGTTTTGTTTACTCCTAACCCTCACCCGAAGCCTGAGCCCAGACATCTTCCCTAACCTGATAACCTGCTTGCTTCTGTGTCCATACGCTCCTCCCCACTGCCCGGTCTTTTTCCAGTCTCCATCCAAGTGCTTCTTATTGAGCACTGATTCAAAATTTTTGGAATATTAACTATGTGCCGGGCACCAAGAGTATAAAGATAATAAGTCACAGCACTTATTTGGGGTGTCTATAGAAGATGTCATTGGGAGGACCAACTGAGTCTGAGGCAGCAGGAGTTACAGCCACTCTGCCACCATTGCTGCATCCAGTTATCCTCTAACAGTTGGCAGTCCTTGCACCAATATTCATTAAGCACCTATTATTTGCCGGGCACTCGACAGTAGGAGAGCAGCAGTGAATGCAACCGTGTCCTGCTCTGTGGAGCTTACATTCTCCTGGGGAGAGGGGGGATAGATAGTCAACTTATAATCAAGCAAATACGTACTAGGTTCAATGGTGAAAAGTGCTCTGGAGAAAAAGAAAGGGTGTGGGAGTTGGGGTGAGCAGGGCAGGGAAAGGCTTTCGTGACGAGGTGTGAGGGAGACGAAGGAAGTTGGGGAGAGCCTAAGGCAGGATCGTGCTGGCTGCTTTAAGGGGCACAGGGACATCCACTGTGGCTGGACCCCAGTGGTGAGGGAAGGGTGCAAGAGATGAAATCAGAGACAGCCCTGGGCCGGCTCATGAAGGGCTTCGGGGACCACCATGGAAGGGCACTAGAGAGATGGAATCTAATGCACATTTTAAGTTGAGAAAAGATGAGAGGGGCTTACAGGTGCAAGTAAGGAGTCTAGTGGGAGATGATCCAGGTGAGGGACGAGGTAGCTTGGAGCCACATGGTAGCAGCAGTCAGATTCTGATATAGTCTGAAGTTGGAAGCAGTGGAATTTGCTGCTGGGGATGGCATGGTGGTGCGGAGAGGAGAGGGGCAGGGAGAGCAGACAGCAGTCAAGAGCAACTGCAGTTCTTTAATCTCCCCCCACCCCCACCCCTAATGGGAAGAATGGAATTGCCATGTTCTGAGGTTGGGAAGATCACAGAAGAGCACGTTTGGGGATGGAGGTTTAAATATTGGGAAGTTAATCTGGACCTGCCAAGTTTGACATGCAGATTAGACCTCCAAGTGGAGACAGTAACAGTTGGATAATAGGAGCCTGGAGTTGAGGGGAGAGGTTGGGGTTGAAGATTTAATCTTGGGAATCTAAGCATAAATTAACTGTTAAGAAAGTCCTTCTTATAGTAATAACAGCCCAAAAGACTAGTGAGGAAACAGCTGGACCCCACCTACACACTGGTCAGCAGTGTTCACCTTTTTCTACATAATCGTCTTCTCTCCCTGTCGTCGATTACCATTTGCCTCTTTCCTTTCTCTAGTTTCATTTTCTCTTCATTTGCTTTGTGTGCCTTCCCTGTTAGAATAACTGTCGTCATAGGAGCACCTGGCTCAGTTTCAGGAATATGATGGTCATTGTCATTTTGGCCTTTCCTCCCTGTTTTCTTTGTCTCTGGCTGCAGTAACTTCATAATTGAAACATTTTAGCTGGGTTGCTTGAACACTTTCCAGCTTTGTGAAGATAGTAAGTATGTTGCTTTCTCTGTTAAGGTTTGTGAGAGTGTGGTTACAAAGGGCGATTGAATCCTAAGGCAGATGACAGTGATTCAGTCCATCCCCCTGTTGTTCTGTCCTCTTCATTTAGCATCAATAAGCCCTCTTTTCTTTGTTCTGAAGTTTCTGTAGATTGTTAAATCACTACTTATTTCTCCCATCCCTTTATTAATGTTTACATAAACCAGAGAGCACATTAACCTCCTCTTTTAGATTCTTTATTATAAATCCCATTAAAACTTTTACTCTCTTCCCGCCTGATTTTATTCTCCACCCGCCCCACCCCCCCCTTTTTTTTTTTTTTTTGGCCGTGCTTCGTGGCTTGCGGGATCTTATTTCCCCAACCAGGAATTGAACCAGGGCCCCTGGCAGTGAGAGCACTGTGCCCTAACCACTGGACCACCAGGGAGTTCCTGTCTTCACTTTTTCTAATGTCACACTTCTCCTTAATCATACCTGGCATTGTCTGGGAGAAGCAGTACTAGTCCAGATGCTCCTTTTCAGTGCAGAGACGGAAGAGCTGAGGTCAGCCAGTCTTTCTCCGGGTGAAGTGCATTTGCCTCTCTCTCCCTAAAGGGAAGATGAGTGTCAGCAGGAGCTGCTGGCAGCACTTGGCTAAGAGACTGGCACCCCCAGCCTCTGTGTTTATGGGGAAAACTCTAACTCCAGCAAAGAGCCGCTTTTTAATACTGCCAAAACCTGTCCCAGGGTAATTGACATCCAGAATGGGGAGGCTAGAATAAAGTCTGTCGTGTATTCATTTTAGTTGATGAATACACTTGAGTCAAAGATGGAATTTTTTCAGTGTTTAGAAAAAATTCTATCCTTGAGCCAAGAAGTTTTTGCATATTTACCTGTACCTTCTAGCTTCTAGTGGGTAAAATGATAGGCCTTCAGGATAACTCATTACTGTGGGCTGGGGCCTGATAGCATTAGTGAATAATGCCTGAGGGATGATAGATGCTGTCGGAGAATCAATTGACCTGTCTTCTCTCCCCTTCCTCTCCACTTCCTGGAGAAACAGGACCGCAGGCACAGCTAGCAACAAGCTGTGGTACGCCTCTCTGTCCCTGGTGACTCTCATCATGTACTCCATCGCCACGGGAGGCTTGATTTTGATGGCAGTGTTTTATACACAGAAAGATGGTTGCGTGGAAAATAAAATTCTTCTCGGGGTAAACGGAGGCCTGTGTCTGCTTATTTCAGTGGTAGCCATCTCACCCTGTGTCCAAAATCGTAAGCACAGTTTTTTTCCATTCTTCCTTATTCATATTATAAATGTCTTTGAGCAACACCCCTCCCTTTTTGGAAATTATGGTCATTCCTTAATTTACCATGGGTGGGTCAGCAATAGGAAAGGTGGGACCCCAGTGTCCCCTTCATGCCCCACACTGGGGCGAATGTGATAGTCACGCATGCCTTGTGTCCAAGATTTGAGTGTAATGAAGTCAATAAATAAGGAGATAGATGTTGCTATTACATAATGTACTGCAAGGAGCCTTTCAATGGAAAACACCTTTAGTGGATATTTAGCTCTTCCCTGTGATCTCTGTGTAAAACTTGAATGAGTGAGAAGGCTATGGAAGGAGCTGTTCTGGGGCTCATCTTTCACTTAAGACCCCTGTGGATCACAAATTGAGGACAGCGTGGTCCCAGAGTCAGGTAGCAGGAAATCCGATCCTGGCTGTGCCAGCAGCTATAGCTCTGGGAGCTAACCGTTCTCATACCCCACCTTCCTCTGCGAAGCCAACAGAAACCTGTGAGCCGGATCTTACTCATGGTTCTTTCAAAGCCAAAAGGAAGAGATGATGGAAGTTCATTATTGAAATTGAGATGGTTATTACTCCTCCAGTTCCTTTAATTGATCAATTAAGAATTTCCTAAAGCATTAGTATTCAGATTAAAATATTCTTTGGGTTAAATCCTACTTTTTGAAATAGTTATAGTATTTTGAAATATTTGGTTTAATGCCATTAATTGTTAAGGTGAGTCTTATTCCCATGCCAAAGAGCAACATTATAAAAGGGCCTATTTTTTTACCTTTATTGGTCATTATAATTTAATAATGATAACTCTGGGAATAAATTTAATCAAAGGGAAGACTGGGTAAAACTAAATCCTTTTATGTCTGCAGGTGGTTGAAAATTTCACCAAAAAAAGGATAAATCCCTTTTATCACATCTTGGTTACTCTCAACCATCCAAACAGTTTCATTTAAATATTGTAACATTGAAGCCCTTTTCCCAGTGAATGCTCAGTCCCATAGCCTTCTTCTTTGGTTTGGACCAGCTCTGGTATATTCCCAAAGGATTTTTTGTCCATTGACAGATATGGAATCCAGGCCCTCCCTATAAAATCCATCATTTACCCCACTAAACTATGTGATCTCACAAATAACGACGGTAAATTTTCTTTGGAGGTTTTGTGATTTAAGAACTAATGTTATGAGCCTCAGGGAGACCAGGCAGTATGTTTCAGTACAGCTGTAGTTGTTATCAAAATAGGGTGTTGGGAGAGAACTCGGTAGACCTTGTCATCTCTTAAACAGCAGTTAGGTTCAGGGTATCACTCCCCTCCCCGCCCCGCCCCCTCCCCAAATGTTTTGGTGTCATCTGAGAAACACATTACATACCTCTTCTTGCCTTGAAGGGTGGGGCTCCAAGTTGGAGGGATGTCGTTCGCGGGAGACCTGTTTTTTTAAGGCACATATGCTTTCTCGTCGTTGATTTAAAACACTGTCTCTTCTCATTCTCCAGGACAGCCGCACTCTGGGTTACTGCAGTCGGGTCTCATCAGCTGCTACGTCACGTATCTCACGTTCTCAGCTCTGTCCAGCAAACCTGTAGAAGTCGGTAAGCCGGCTTGTTAGGGAGCCTGTGCTTTTGCAGGATGAATATTGTCATTTGTGGAGTGAGCACTATGTCTCTGTGAGCTATCGTTTAAGTATCGGATACGACACATCAAAATAGAGAGGTGATCTAGACTTCTTCATTAAAGGAGGTCCTCAACATGGGATATGAACATGAAACTTCCTTCTCCTGAGTCTTCCTGCTGTTCAGGAAAGACATGAACTAAGGAGGGCTGTTGAGTTTGCTTTGAGGCCTAATCTGCATTTTCCTGCTCAGAAATACTCAAATGTTCAAGAAATAATCAAAAATATTCAAGAAAAAAATTTTTGCTCTATTTTTTTATTATTATTTTTAGGTGGTTATTAATTTTCTTTAGGTGATCATTTCTCTGACTGTAACAGAATAGAAAGAGCATGGGAGTGGTTCTCCCACTTAAGTAACTTGTATAGAGTCACTTTTCTCTCTCTAGATATCTCGCCTTTAAAATAAGATTTTTTTTTTTTTTGGTTGCATCTGGTCTTTGTTGCTGCATGCGGGCTTTCTCTAGTTGCAGGAGCGGGGGCTACTCTTACTTGTGGTGCGCGGGCTTCTCATTGTGGTGGTTTCTCTTGTTGCGGAGCACGGGCTCTAGGTGCGCAGGCTTCAGTAGTTGTCGTGTGCAGGCTCAGTAGTTGTGGCGCACAGGCTCAGTAGTTGTGGCGCACGGGCTTAGTTGCTCCGTGGCATGTGGGATCCTCCCAGACCGGGGCTCGATCCTGTGTCCCCTGCATTAGCAGGTGGATTCGAAACCACTGCGCCACCAGGGAAGCCCCTAAAATAAGAATTTTAATTATTATTTTAAGAAGATAATTAAATAAAATTCTTCTTTTATAGGGTGGTTTTTAAGATTTCAATGAGTATGTGTGTGTATGTAAGTATAAGTACAGTTCCTGGCAGGTAGTAGGTGCTATATAAAGCGTGCCTGTTATTCTTGTAGAGTAGTTGCAATGAATATTTGAGAACTATAAAAGCACTATTATATTATAAGCTTTCCCAGTAAAGGACCAGATTTTCTTGTGTTGATTTCCAAACTCATTATATTTCATCATCTTTATCACTTTTGTGATATATAAATGTGTATATAAATGTATACTCATACACACGTGAGTATGTTTGGGTACATTTTATCTTATATACATCAGGTGAAATACATGTACTCTCTTTTCTCTAGAATAGAAAATTGAAGTTGTTTTCCTTTTTTAAATTTAGAAAGCAAATGCAAAGATAATTTGAAACTTTTAGCATATACATGTACTACATATGGGTCTTGCCTTTATAGCTATTTATAGTACAATGCAAATATAATTGCACATCTTATATTAAGTATAGTCTATCCTGGATATAATTTTTTTTTTAAATCTCTATCTTGACTCTAAGTTTATTTAAGTCTAGTCTTTTTAAGACTTTTATGAGTGTTTTGACTATTTATGTATTAATCTCTGTTTTTAACTTAACGGGGTTTTTGGTTACAACATTTTTCTTTTTAATGGCAGGTATCACTTAAATACAGAAAAAAACTTTTATTTTTAATTTTGGGTGGTACTACTTAAATAGCAAAGTTCATATTTTGGTCAGTTTTGTAAAGAAAATTTTCATTGGCCTAAGAATAAAGATTCCTTAAACCACAGCACACACAGTTTACAGTTTCAAGTGGGAGCACCCAGAAATAATTTTCGTCCAACTTTAAACTCTTAGAATGTGCATGTTTGTAAAATGGTTTCTAGCGTGTTATTTTATGTTTATGTTCCTTATTTTTGGGCAGAGTTGGCAAACAGACCCAGCTTGGGTGTTCAAAATTGAAGACTCTGTGATAGATAAAAAGTAAACGACTAGTGATGGTAATATGATACAAATCTTTGTTATGTAGCCTCTCACAATTTTTTAAAGCTCTAGACCACTTGAGGAGGTTCCCAGGTTACAGCCGTAAGATGTCATGACTGTCTTATTACCAACAGTAAAATGACTTCTCATCTGGGTGGAGGCTGTCGGCCAGATAGCAGTTCCTGCAGGTTCCTGTTTGATGTAATAGTCTTGACACTCCTCCAAGGGAGGATAGACATGGAGGATGCTCTCAGTCAGCTGCACGCTACCTGCCAATCAACTGCCCAATCAACTGAAAAATGACCTAAGTTTACTCTTTACTATTGTTTCAATAGTACTGAAAAATAGCATGACTCTTAGAAAGCCCTGGGACTGAAGATCCCTTTAGCACTAAGCTGGAACCCCAGGGTCTTGCTCCGAGAGGCTTCCTAGGTGGCAGAGGGTGCTTCACAGTAGTAACAGTCTAGTCTGAGTCGAGTGGGACAGTAGAGGAGAAGCTTCCAGTGCTGAGTCTCACTGTTCTGCACTGCATGAATTTTCCCAAAGTGAATGCATCCCTGAGTTACAGGGGGCTTTTCTAATTTGGCTCTGATTCCTTTCCCTTTTCTTCACAAGTTCTAGATCAACGTGGGAAGAATGTCACCATCTGCGTGCCTGACTTTGGTCAGGACCTGTACAGAGACAAAAACTTGGTTGCTGGACTGGGTACCACTCTGTTGTGTGCGTGCATCTTGTATTCCTGGTAAGTGTCAGGAGTTACCTAAGGCCATCTTTGCAGACTTTAAAAGTATAAGAGGAGAATTTAAATACGTTTTAGCAGTGTGAGGCAGCAAAACAAATACCATCTGAGGAAGAGGGAAAATGTAGCCTGAAGTAAAAAGGTGGTATCACAGCATGAAATCTAGGTGTTTGGACCTCCTTTGCCTAACTTGTATTTCTATGCGGTAAATAAAATAAATACATACGGTACGTTGCAATGCTTTAACAGACGGTTGAGTACTACTTGCTAAAGCATTTTTGGAGGGTAAGGGAGCACAAAGTGAGGAAGAGGTGGAATGTGCCAGAATGTTTTGGCAACTTTCTACTCCAGCGGAAATATCGTTTGTTCTCTTGTTGATGGAAAGAGTACAAAGTACTCCATGCACAGTCATTTTGTGCTTGGTCCAGGAAAGACAGGAAACATCCCTTTGCTTTTATGCTAAAACCCACATTGCTATTAAGGAGGCGAAGTCATTCCTCCAAAAGTAAGTGTGATACATAAACAGGCTGTGTTGCAGATGCTTGGGGTGAAGTTTATTCCACCTTCAAAATCTGTAGAAGATACGAGAAGGAGAAAAGTAAAGGGTAGGAATGATAAGTTTCTTACTTCAGGTACATATTTCACTGATGATCAGGCTTCCCTTTGACAGTAACCCTTTCATGTTTAGGTTTTACTCCTGTGTTTTACATTTCGTTTGTTATATTTCTTCTTTATTTTTATTTAAAAAAAAAAATATATATGTATGTATGTATATTTATTTATTTATTTATTTTGGTTGGGCCGGGTCTTAGTTGCGGCAAACGGGATCTTCATTGCAGCACGTGGGCTCTTAGTTGTGGCATGCATGCGGGATCTAGTTCCCCAACCAGGGATCGAACCTGGGCCCCCTGCATTGAGAGCATGGAGTCTTACCCACCGGACTACCAGGAAAGTCCCTCGTTTGTTATATTTCAGTGTCTAAAAATTTCAGTCACAGGCACATGGTAATCTTCCTCTGGCCAAAACTGTACCATCCTGGTGGTGATAGCTTGTATAAATAGAATGTCTCTCTGAGCATATTGGCTTTTTCTCTTAGAGCTTCTAACACCCCCTAATGCCATAGAGAGGGACCAACAGACATAGACATAGACAACAGACGTAGACAAGAGAACTGCGTTGTATAAAGCACGTGTTCACAGTCATGCATCAAGCTTTCAAACGCGTGCAAGCTCTCAGCCTGTCTGTGATGTGGTGACAGCCTTTTCATGATGCAGCAGAAGGGACTGTGGTGACCGGTTTCTGGCCTTGCACCGTTATTGATTCCATACTTGTTCACTGATTCGGGCCCTCATCAATGAATGTTTTCAGGAAAGCCATGAAGGCCACCCACATTTTAATGCTGATTCTCAGCCCTTCCTTTCTTAAGTTTTTCCTTCCTGAGTCTGTTATTGTTGGGCTTTGGGGAGAAGTGTCAGCAACATGGCTAATTTTACGATTTGTCACTCACATTTTTTTCTGTATTGGTATGTAAAAAAATATTGGTAAATCCAGTGAGGAGAAAGTAGGTTACTAAACTATAAGTGTAGAATATTCCATTTTTAAAATAAAATATAGTTGTATTTACACATGTAGAAAAACTCCTGGAAGGAGATAAACCAAGCTTGTAAGAGTGGTGGTATTAGGGATAACTTTTTTTTCTAAAAAAAAAAAAAATTTTTTTTTTTTTTACAATGAGCTAGTATTTCTTTTGTTTGTGCTATCAGAAAAAAAAAAAAACTGTGAAGATATTGGATACAATAAAATCATGTGTTTTTTGAGTTGCTGAATGCCTAATCCTGCATGATAAAAAGTGTTTGTGCCCTTAGATAAAAATAGAGCATAGATTTGCTATAAGCCCATCAATGGAAAAGATGGCAAAAATGCTATTTAATGTGCTGATAGAACTGCCACCAGTGGTGTTGGTTTGTGGTGTGGAATTTACACCCTGTTAGATTTTCACTGCCACCCTTGAGTGAGAAATGATGAATAAAACATTGCTCCTTTTGGAATTTAGAGGCACTTTAGTGGAGGTTGGTAAGGTCTAATCTGATATTCCCAAAAGATAACAAATTTCAAAGCTGACAGCTGCTACTTAACATCTGTCTAAATGCCAGTAACAAACTTTTTTTTTTTTTTTCTCGGTACGCGGGCCTCTCACTGTTGTGGCCTCTCCCGTTGTGGAGCACAGGCTCCGGACGCGCAGGCTCAGCGGCCCTGGCTCACGGGCCCAGCCGCTCTGTGGCATGTGGGATCTTCCCGGACCGGGGCACAAACCCGTGTCCCCTGCATCAGCAGGCGGACTCCCAACCACTGCGCCACCTGGGAAGCCCAACAAACGTTTTTAAATGCTGGTAATCAAACTGCAAAACCGTAGTGTGCAAAGGAACGAGGAGACAGAAAACAGCAGCCACGCCGAGTGGAGATGAGGAGTAGCCAGGCAGCTCCAGGGTATTGGTGTAACACATGGTGCGGACACACTGCCTGGTGATGGCAGGTGATTCCTCAGGGGTCAGTGAAGTGCTGCACAGGGTGGGGTGAGGGTGTCTGAGTGACTGATGTTTGCTCTGATTACCCACCACAGCTCCAGGAGGAATGGGCTTTGAGAACTTTATACCAAGCATCTTGGAGCTCAAGGGGTACTGAGTTTAGCCTAGGAGGCCCTTGAACAGGGAAGTGTGAGAGGCGGCCCAATTAGGAGTGTTTCAAATCTTGACTTTCCTAGACTCAGAGGATTGAGAGATTGGAAGATACTACAGAAGGAGGCTGCACTGCCTGGGCGAAAACTGTCATTTGAAGATGATTGCAGGAATATCTAGAATTCTCCATAGAATCTGTAGGAAGCCAGAAGATTGGGTGGTGTGTGCATTAAAGGGAGAAGAAATCACCTGTTTTCAATGGAAGTCCAGGATTGCTTGGGATTGGGGTTAACTTTTTTTGGTAAGATCTTAGAGGCTCACTCTGCTATGTTCTCACCCAGCTGGGGTCTCCTCACCCCCGACACACTCTCTCTCTCTCTCTCAAACACTTCTTTAGGAGGCTCTCATGATGACCTCCAGTCTCAGTTTCTGGCTGTCTGTCCCAAGTCCTGCTTCTGGGCACTCACTATGAGGATGTTTTACTCTTGGCTGTCTTAGCTTGGAAGAAGGGCTCAGCCAAAACTCACTCGCCAGCTTTCCAACTGAGGCTGCCCTTTCTCCCAAAGCCTCTTCTACTGTACCCGGGCATTATGTTGTAAAGAAATGTCACAGCCCAGACCCCGTCAGGAGTCCCCCGATGGCTCTTTCTATAAGCAGATGCCCCTGTATCCCCTTAGGCCTGGATCCTTGCTGTCATAGGCCCTGGCCTCCCCCAGCTATTTCTTAAGTCCCTCCTTGGTCTCTAGATTTTGATTGAAATTGTTATTCTGTTGGATTCAAGTTCACAAACTGTCAGATGAGACAGGATCATGGAGTCGATCAAGTTCAATTCCCTCTTGGGAATTCTCTGGCGGTCCAGTGGTTAGGACTCTGTCCTTTCATTGCTGATGGCCCGGGTTTCATCCCTGGTTGGGAAGCTAAGATCCCACAAGCTGTGCACCCCACCCACCCCCCCAAAAAAGAAAAGTTCAATTCCCTCATTGTACACATAAGGAAAATTGAGATGTGGAGACTGCTCCTATATTTCTCCCCCAGTTCAGGAAACCTTTCCTTACATCTCCTTTGCTGGCGTATTGGGAGAGACAGGTTCATAGTCATTTCCCCCCACCACCCTGGGAAGTCTTGGAGTAAGGTCCTTCACTTAAGTGGAACAATCAGCTGGATGACTTGCAAAATTGCATTATTAGGAGGCATTTGTGCTGTAAAATGTTCCCCGGCTATTTCAGTTTTAGCTATGCTTAAGAGAAAAAAATAACTTTTTTCAGTTGTCTTAGGAATTTGAGAACAAAATTGGAAAAACTAAGAATTTTAATAAAGGTCAAACAACTTGCTAGTTCCAAATGGGACATTTCACAGCACTATAGCAGACCATATGGAAATAGGTGCAAGATTGGTAAGATGGCACTGGAGAGATTGGTTTAAATGGAGAAAAGTTGGCAAATCAAGGAGGGTTATCTGTTCTTTTGGTGTGTTCTGGACCTACTGCTTTTATTTAAGAAGGGGGTGGGGGGAATATCTTTTGGGAATCCTGTTACTGCCTAACCTGCCAGCTAGAAGTTTTCATGTCTCTGCATCAGGAACATGTTGAGGACCCCTTTCCACCAACTCTGGTTTCCACTGGGAACATAACTGAACTTGATTATACCAAGTCTGAGAACAGTCACGGGATCTCTCAAGGGCCCTGTAAGTTTGTCGGGGGCAGAATCTGTGGTGTCTGATAGGAAAGTCTGGACGTGTTGTCTAGAGATTTCCTGTGACCTAGTGGAGTTTGGCCAGTTCCAGAACCGCTGAAGCAGATGTGGAGGGGCACCTGCATTGCAAATCATTCTCCCAATATGGAAGAGATTCTGGGCGTGACAGAGGTTGGGAGGGGTTGGGGGTAGCAGGGAGGCGTTTTTTCTTTTATGGTTGTCACAACTGCAAGATGCCCCTGGCTTTTGGTGAGTGAGGGCTTGAGATAGTAAACAAATAAGGTGATTAGACCTTCTCTGTCCACTGAAGCATTGTCCAAACCAAATGCTGTCAGGCTCCTCCCACCCCCACAGGAAGTACTGGGTTAAAGTCACTCAGGCCTTAGCCCTGGAAGGGAAGAGGTTATGGATAATCCGGGAATTGTTGTCTTGTGCCGACCAGATGCGTCTTAGTAATAGCCAGAGTGCAGACAATAAGAATTTCCTAGGCTTTTAAAGAGTTTGTAAAAACAATATTTTCTCAGTAATTTTAAGAAGAGTGTTTTGTGGGTAAAGGCCATGACTGAATAAAGACCTTATTTTATGGTAATGTCTACTTACAGAATTCACATGTCACTAATGATGAACTGATTGTAGGTATTTTTAGAAGAACAAAAGCTTCCCCTTTTAAAGTGCTCTCTGATGATGGAAGCAAAGTGGCAGAGGTGCCAGGATCAAAAGCTTTGCTTTTCTGAAACCGTTTTATCCCCAAGAATTTATGAAATGGAATATTTACTTGAACTTTTTTAAAGAATAAATATCATCTTTCAGATGAAAATTCCAGATATTGATCTCTTCCTAAAGTTAAGTTACATTTTCCTCCATGGAAACGATATACTGTGTTAAATCATAATTCATATGCACAAAATGTAGCATGCCCTTGAGTGCAGGAGCAAGGTGTATGTGTTTCTTGGGTGCACAGCCATTGGGAATTGTTTCTGTCATTCCTCAGACCAGGCTCAAAGTCAGGAAGTGGGAGTGGAGTGGGCCTCCATTTACATCCATCTGTTCAAAGCAGAAGTGAAAGTGATGCTATTGGACTTGAGTGGACCACAAAAGAAGCAATGCTCTTGGATCCCAGAGGACCTTTATATGAGGAAAACTTTTTATTGTTTATTCGCATCTCATTGATCTCTTCTCTCCTTGGGAGAGAGGATGAGAATGAGCAGAGAAGGTAGTGCTGCGTCTTGCAGTTTATTTGGTTGAAGTGAGTCTGCTAATTCCTGCCTCTCCACTAGCCCCTCCGCCCCCAGGCTAGCGCATTTGCTGCAGGGGGGCAGGGATTATTGTGTGTTTCACTGAGTCCCCAGTGCTTAGAACAGGGCCTGGCACATGGCACACCATCGGTAAATATTTGCTAAATCAATCTGTAAAGATTATTCATATATATTGAATATTTTTCTATTTGCTTAAAATGGTCCTTTTCTCCCCCCAGGAAAAAAAAATTCCTTTTTTTTTTTTTTTTTTTTTTTTTTGTAACCCCGTGAGCCAGATTTTATAACATTTTACCTCTCTAGGCATGGGGAGAGTGGCAGGAAGAATTTTTTTAATCACACTGATAACTACTCTGTGCTAAATTTCCAAACAGAAAACCTTGCTCTGCCAAAGGCTGATTATCACAGAAAATAGTGATGACCTTTGCTTTTCATGCCTTTGCGTTTTGTTGCCATTTCAGGCTTCTTTCATTGCTTTTGATCCCTTCTAAGTGAGACTAGTCAAAGGGAGGGGAAAGATAAAAATGGAATCTGAAAATTATTGGCATTCGAGGGAGAAGTGGAAACCAATAGTGAAAAACAAGGTAATAGGATCAAAAAATGACTTTTATTTTTTTTTAACCTATAAACTTCTCTTTGCATAAAATCATCTCATGCAACATGGAAAAAAAACATCAGCCATCGAACAGGTCAGGCACTTTTGGAATAAAGTGGGTTGTTAAAATAGACAACTTTTATTTAAGCAGGACGGTAGGTTAGAGGGAGCCTCTCACTGGAGCCTCCTCCGCCAGGAGACTCTGCCCTCCTTCTACGTGATACAACACGTTAATAGGCTTTGCTGACCTTTTTTGTTTATCTCTTAGTTTGACATCGACGACCAGATCAAGTTCCGTTAATAGGCTTTGCTGACCTTTTTTGTTTATCTCTTAGTTTGACATCGACGACCAGATCAAGTTCCGTTAATAGGCTTTGCTGACCTTTTTTGTTTATCTCTTAGTTTGACATCGACGACCAGATCAAGTTCCGATGCTCTGCAGGGGCGGTACGCAGCTCCTGACCTGGAAGTAAGCTCATTTCCTTTTCTTGCCCTGCTTCATCTCAGAAGACCCATTTTTCAGAAGGCTTTTTATGTGTTTATTTTGCATCTTTAGTGGTCTGTATTCCACGATCCCATTTTCCTCCTCAGGAAGGAATACAATTTTCGTACAGGAAAAGAAATGTCCTGAATGTACTATAGGATTAAAATAAATCCTTGATTTTCCTCCAACAAATTTGGCCTCTGGTGTGGCCTTCGGCCGCCCCACTGCCACCAGAGGCCTGGGTAGCTTGATGGGCTGCTCTTTGCTCGTTTCCTCTGTTGTAACAGAATGTGTGCGGGTTGTCTTAACTTCTAGCCCATCCCCCTCGTCTTTACCTGTCTGCGTTCTCCGTACACGGCACAGCCATGATGTCATACGGTAGCTGTGGGAAGGAGAGGGGAGGATCGCGCCTGCGCTCTGTGCCACCCTGCTGGGCACTGTCTGTACGTCAGCTTGTTAACTGCAGCAGCGCCAGCAGGCGGGCATCTCATGGGGCGAAGAATGGTGAACAGTCGGCTTCCGAAGAACCAGGCTGGTCAGCATTTGCCTGTCGGTCAGCAGAATGTCATTTTCTTTCTTGTGCAAACGTCTTTTTTCTGGGGCCCTCAGTGGAACATCCACCAAGGTCACAAAAGGTCTAATCAGATGGAGGCAGCCAGGAAGAGATTCAGCCCTGACCCCAAGAATGGAACGAACAGGAGGTTCCGATGATGGCTAAGACTAGCTGTGTTCTAAGTGCTACATCTCTTGACTTCATTTGATCTTCAAAGAAACCCAAGGAGGGTTTTATCTCCATTTCACAGAAGGCGGAAAAACAGAAAAGTTAAGTCCTTGAAACTTTTGATTTGCCTGCGTGTAAACCGTGCCCTCTGGTTCCAGAGTCTGTGCTGTGTTCCTAACCACCCGTGCCCGAGATTCAGCTGCTCTCTGCTGATCCTGCCTGGCGTCCGACCCCGGCTGCATGGAGGAAGAGCCCTGGTGTCTGTTCAGATATGCGCACTTTGTTCTGCAGTGGGTCTCTGGGGATGGTCCTCCCTGCACCTGACCTGGAGATAGTGGACCATTATGAGGGGTTGTCAGTCTGCCAGTATCATTCACCAGCTCTTTCTGTCTCTTGAAGGAGGAGAAAACTGTGCTGAGTTTGAATGGGTTACTGCCTATTCTCCAGAAGAGAATGGCCTCTAGAAGGCAAGTGGTCGTTCACACCGCTGACTGGGTCATCCCCTGCTGAGGTTGGACCGCTCTGGCTTCAATATCCCCATTGTGTACACAGTTAAAGTGCAAAGAACAGCAAGTCTCCGAGTTAGATTTAAGAGAGGATGTTTTTCTTCGCATTCCAAGGAAAGAGCCCCAGTGTTTCCCTCTGAACTGGAGAACACACAGGATGGAAGTTGGTTTGCTAACTCCTTGCCTCACATTTCACAGGATATACCTTTGAAAGAGAGAGTTAGTCATTTCTTGTTGTAACTTAAGCTTCAAAAGAACTGGGACCCCAGCATACCATGTCTTGGCCCCATTGAATGACTTAGTGAATCTTAGACTGTATCACTTGATCCAAGAGTCTGTCAAGGCCAATCCCTCTATGACAAGTTTCCTTGATGCATGAAGGAAAAAGGGCTTGGCTTTGAGATGTATAAATGGGATGAAGGCTCAAGCTCCCACGTCCTTGCCCCTGGCTCTCTGTTCTTTGTCGTGAAACTGTTGTTAGCCAGAAGGTGCTGAGGACCCAGCACTTCGCAGACTGTCTTGGCGTGTGTAGCATTTCTTATTCTGTTTACCAGAGTACTTCTAGAATCGTGTAGTAATTTTTCGTAACCTGATTTTTTTTTTTAATTGTTTATTGTTTTGAGTAGGTCAGAAACATGGCACGACATTTGGAAGGATCCAAGGACTGTTAAAGGAAAGCATCCCATCCATCGCTGTCCCCAGCACCCCTGCCCCCATGAGGCAGCCAGCTCACAACCCGATTTTAATAGGAAATGTGGGCAGGCCTCCTGGCCCCAGATCCCTTAGTTGTTTTACCCTTTCTGAGTTTGTCAGCCCCACCATCTCCTAGATACCACGTTCTGCCTATTGGGGTTCACTGCGTTCCTCTCCCAGGTCTGTCACCTAATTTTGTGACTTCGGGCTAGTTATTCAGCCCGCGGGACCCCACTTCCCTCACGTGTAAACAGGATAATTATCCCAGCCCCAGGCGCTGAAGAGGATTTCATCAAGTAGCAAGTAGAGCAAAGCACCAGGAGTGAGCTCCATGAGTGTGGCGACCTTGTCTCATTCACTTTGTGTTCCAGGTTGAGTTTTCCAGAAGCAGCCACCGAGGCAGAGCCTGATGTGCAGGATGTTTATTAGGGATCAACACATGTGGAAGGAGGGAAGGGGGTAGCATGGGGCAGAGGGTGAAGTCGAAGGGCACAGCAGTCTGGACAGAGCCACCGCTCACACCCCGGGCACTCGGAGCAGATAGACGACCCGTCAGAGCTGTCCCCCAGGGGTCAGTGGCTGCGCCTTTACAGCCCTGCTGTGAGCGGTCATTCTGTGTGGGTTGCCCAGGATAGGCTCCCTCGAGGGTGGGGCAACCCACAGCTGGGGCAAGGCCTGGAGCTGCCTTCTAGAGCCTCGCAGTAGCTGAGCAAGCACTATGGGAGCACCTTGGAACAGGATCTGGGTGCCTCACCTCCATGTCCTTATTTCCAGTCACTAGCCCCCAGAGCGTCTTGGAAGAACAGACACGTAATCAGAACCTTTCCAAGGAGTGAAGCGTGCAGTTCGGGGCTTGGGATATAGTTCAGATGGAGAAGGTTTGGCACATAGGTGGCCTTTAGTTCTTAACCAATGTGGAGATAGAAAAGCAGAAAGCAAGCCGCCTGACTGTTGGTTTTGCCCTCGCAGGTAGCCCGGTGTTGTTTTTGCTTCGGCTCTGGTGGAGAGGGTAAGTAGACAGCTTTCCTTCTGTGCTCCGTGTGGCCCTGCAGACCTGTAGCTCTAGTCTGTAGGCATTTGGGAGTCAGGCACAAATAACTTGAGTGGTAAGAGGAAATTTTTATTCCAGAGCTGGTTTATTGTTGTGTGTTACACTTTACACATTCTTCCCAAAGGGTTGCTGGGATTCGTTTGTGTTGACATTCTGGCAAGCGAAGAACAGTCTATATTTTGGGTCATGTTTATATAAGTTATATTACCCAGTGAGATTTCAAGGAGCGGGAGGTGCATTTTTTAAAGGAATGATAATTTGGAAAATTTCTTTCGTTCAGCTTACTTTTATTCTTGAATTAGAGCATCCCAGGGGCTTGAGAACTCTTGCTCTGCCCTCTCATTTTCTTCTGAGCTTATAATACGTTTTGTGTGTTTAAGGGCTCTCTTCTGTTAAAATAAATGTGACCGACATTAGGTAACTCATCCTGTTATAGAAGGTTTTGAGATGAGGTGGGCGTTTGGGGCTTATGGCATAGATGAAATTGCCTGAGGGTACAAATGATTTTTGACAGCTTTTCTACTCAACAGCCCCTGGGATGGAAATTAGCGAGTGTGGCTTTGCGAAAATGGTAAACATGGGTCTGTTCACTCACTGGGCTTGTGCTCGCTTTGTGGTTCACAGACACAGAAGAGCAGCAGAATGTGAAAGAGGGCCCGAGGGTCATTTATGATGAGAAGAGAAGCACTGTCTACAGCTATGCCTATTTCCACTTTGTATTCTTCTTGGCTTCCCTCTATGTGATGATGACTGTCACCAACTGGTTCAAGTGAGTGGCCCCGTTGTCTTAGATGTTTTAGAAGTTAAAAAAAAGTCTTTTAAAAACATCCTATTCATTTTTGTTTTTTTTTAACATCTTTATTGGAGTATAATTGCTTTACAATGGTGTGTTAGTTTCTGCTTTATAACAAAGTGACTCAGTTATACATATACATATGTTCCCATATCTCTTCCCTCTTGCGTCTCCCTCCCTCCCACCCTCCCTATCCCACCCCTCTAGGTGGTCACAAAGCACTGAGCTGATCTCCCTGTGCTATGTGGCTGCTTCCCACTAGCTATCTATTTTACGTTTGATAGCGTATATGTGTCCATGCCACTCTCTCACTTTGTCCCAGCTTACCCTTCCCCCTCCCCATATCCTCAAGTCCATTCTCTAGTAGGTCTGTGTCTTTATTCCTGTCTTACCCCTAGGTTCTTCTTGACATTTTTTTCCCCTTAAATTCCATATATGTGTGTTAGCATACAGTATTTGTCTTTCTCTTTCTGACTTACTTCCCTCTGTATGACAGACTCTGGGTCCATCCACCTCATTACAAATAGCTCAATTTCGTTTCTTTTTATGGCTGAGTAATATTCCATTGTATATATGTGCCACATCTTCTTTATCCATTCATCCGATGATGGACACTTAGGTTGTTTCCATCTCCTGGCTATTGTAAATGGAGCTGCAGTGAACATTTTGGTACATGACTCTTTTTGAATTATGGTCTTCTCAGGGTATATGCCCAGTAGTGGGATTGCTGGGTCATATGGTAGTTCTATTTATAGTTTTTTAAGGAACCTCCATACTGTTCTCCGTAGTGGCTGTACCAATTCACATTCCCACCAGCAGTGCAAGAGTGTTCCCTTTTCTCCACACCCTCTCCAGCATTTATTGTTTGTAGATTTTTTGATGATGGCCATTCTGACTGGTGTGAGATGATATCTCATTGTAGTTTTGACTTGCATTTCTCTAATGATTAATGATGTTGAGCATTCTTTCATGTGTTTGTTGGCAGTCTGTATATCTTGTTTGGAGGAATGTCTATTTAGGTCTTCTGCCCATTTTTGGATTGGGCCGTTTGTTAAAAACATCCTATTCTTTACGGCCCGAAGATCAGATCTCTTGGCGTCAACTAACTTCTTCTCCAAGTGCTGCTGTACTCATCTTCACAGAAACAGTCCGCGTTCCTGACAGTCTGTCAGCATGCTTTTTTAAAAAATATTTATTTATTTATTTGGCTGCGCCAGGTCTTAGTTGAGGGATCTTTCAGTTGCAGCACGCGGGATCTTGTTCCCTGACCAGGGATCAAACCCGGGCCCCCTGCATTGGGAGCGTGGAGTCTTAACCACTGGACCACCAGGGAAGTCCCTCTGTTGGCATGCTTTTAAGCCTGGCAGTTGGTGATACTTACTGCAGCTTTAAGAAAATGGGAGGTTAATGGCACGTGGGCAGTCTTGAGAGCATAGTAGCAGTGAGGAGGAAGTACATGGAATTCTGCCTTTAACAAAGAGAAGATACTCTTTTCTTCTACTTTGTACTTTGTCTTTTTTTTTTTTTTTACACTTTCATTACAAAAGTTTGAAACATCTTCTTAAAAAAAACTAACATATGGACTTCCCTGGTGGTCCAGTAGTTAAGACTCCCTGCTTCCACAGCAGGGGGCGTGGGTTTGCCAGCGTGGCATAGCCAAAAAAAAGGTGGAAGTGTGAAAAGTAACAATGGACCCCCCCCCACCCCATAACCACTGCTAACTATATGGTATGTATCCTTTCATTCCTTTTCTGTGCATTTATAAGCCTATATAATTTTTTTTTATTTTATTTTTTTTTGCGGTACGCGGGCCTCTCACTGTTGTGGCCTCTCCCGTTGCGGAGCACAGGCTCTGGGCGCGCAGGCCCAGCGGCCATGGCTCACGGTCCCAGCCGCTCCGCGGCATGAGGGGCCTTTCCGGACCCGGGCACGAACCCATGTCCCCTGCACTGGCAGGCGGACTCTCAACCCCTGTGCCACCAGGGAAGCCCAAGCCCATATAATTTTTAAAACATAAATGTGATTACACATATTCTCCCCCTTGAGGGTTGTTTTTTAACTTACGTGATAGACAATACATGATGGGCCTGACTTTCCCTGTCACTACGTGGAGATTCTTTTTGATTCCTTTTGGAGATTTCTTTGACCCATCCAAAGTTTCTGTTGCCTCATAATTTGTTGTGCCTGAGGATATACCTAACATAGACATTAGAATAACTTAGGATAGACATTAAGACTCATTGTACAACAAACTGGTGAGTGGCTCCTTTATGCCACACTGCTGTGGGTGTTAGGGACTATATTCTAATAGGGGAGATGGACGGTGATCCACATCAAATACAGTGTGTCAAACAGTGATGACTACTGGGGAGAAAAATGAGGAGGAATGAGGAGTACCCAGTGGGGTCGGGGATGCTGGGGGCAGCGGTTTCAAACAGAGTGATGGGGAAGGCTTCCCTGAGGAGACTCTTCCCCACCACGTATGTCCACGTAAAAACTTGTACACAAATGTTCATAATAGCATCATTCATCATAGCCGAAAAGTGGAAACAGCCAAATGTCCATCAGCTGACAAATGGATAAACAAAAGGTGCTATATCCACGCAATGGAATATTCCTCAGCAACAGAAAGGAATAAAGTACTGTTACATACTACAGCATGGATACACCCTGAAAACAGTATGCTGAGTGAAAAAAGCCAGTCACAATAGGCCACATGATTCCATGCATGGTGACATGTCCAGAATAGGCAAGGCCATACGGACAGAAAGTGGATAAATGCATGGCAGGGGCTGGCAGGAGGAGGGAAATGAGAGGGCAGCTGAAGGGTGCAGGGTTTCTTTCTGGGGGGATGAGAATGTTCTAAAATTGATTGTGGTGATGGTTACACAAGTCTATGAATATAACAAAAATCGTGTACTTTAAGTGGGTGTGAATTACACCTGAATTGGGTTGCCAGGGAAAAAAAAGAAAGGCTGGAGGTGGTGGAAGCAGGGAGAGACAAGACTTGGTGGAAGAGACCTTCTCACCACCTGTTCTCTCCCTGCACTGATCACAGCTGGGTCTCTTGTTTCCGCAGCTACGAAAGTGCCAACATTGAAACCTTCTTCAGCGGGAGCTGGTCCATCTTCTGGGTCAAGATGGCTTCCTGCTGGATATGTGTGCTGTTATACCTGGGAACGCTGGTCGCTCCCCTCTGTCGACCCTCTCCGCACTTCTCCGTGTGAGGATCTGAGCAGTCTCCTCGGTTCTGCAGGCTGGAAATGACGTCCTTTGAACAAACGTACCAGGAATCTGAGCGGTGACTGGTACTTTGTGACAAGCTGGCATTCCCCTGGCTGGCTTGAGTGGGTCTAAAAAAACTTACAGGGGGAAAAAGAAAATCACCTGCTTAGCTTTTTTAATTCTGAAATTTGAAAAGAAGCTACCAGTTTGTCCCCCCAAAATTGAAATTTTCACCCGAGTGGATCCTGAGTGATATATTTTGTATGTGTCTTACCCCTAAAAACTGGGATAGTAGTTAGGCTAGTACTTTCCTTCTGCATGTTTTTACCAAAACAGAGTTTGGGACATGACATTTTACCACAGGGAGAAAAGCTTACCTTGTGTGGCCTATTATTCCTATCCTTGAAATAGAAAGACGTGACCGAATCTGGAGCCCTAAGCTCCTGACAGAACACAGACCCCTCTCCCACACCTCGGCCTGTGGGACCCCTGCTCGTGGTTCCCTGCTATTTATTGGCTACAAGAGGAAGCATCTGCTTTTAACTCCCCCCTTGTGCTGTTTCCTCCCAGCCCCCAAACGTTTCCCTTTGAAGTTGTGATGCTGGGAATCACAGACTTCACCCTGTCCTTGCCCCTCCCAGAGCTCCCCTCATCCTTTCTGGGTTCAACATCTTTGTTATAATGTGAAAAAGCACAATTTGCCATCACCACCCATGTGATCCCCCACCAGATTATCACTACCTGATCTGAGTTACTGCAATAATATGACTCTTACACGCGGTGTTACTCACATGATTAGAGAACAATATTCGTGTTGTCTTCTTTGCTATAGTTCTTTCTTGTTTGTGGATTGATATTCATGATACTTTAGGACCTTACCTGGGAAGTTGCTTCTTGACTGAAGCCTGCTGCACCCCCCTTTCCATTACTAAAGTCAGCCAGTTTCTCTTCCACTTGAGGCCTTCGAAATTGTAAAAGCAAAAGGACTTTTGTTTTCCAGACCTGTAATGTGACCACACCGTTAATGTCCATTATGATTTTGGGGGTGGATTTGCTGAGGTGAGGACCACAGGCAACACCTCAAACAGGGCTGACCAGGTAAGGCCTCCAGTTATACAAGTTGTACAAGTGACCAAATATACTTAGAAGAAAGGGTGGGGGGCGGAGGTATTTAACTAAGCCATAAGCAAAAGCCGCAGAAATTTCCAAAATACATGCCTTTAAGGTGATACTGAAGAAAGATTTGACTCTAGGCAGCTGCCCAAGAAGACGTCCATTTTCAGTGCTGATACTCTCAGCCAGGGAAGAATTTATGCAGTGGAAAGCCCATCAGAGACCCTGATGGAGGACGGTGGGCACCCTCCTCTTAGTATTTCATGCAGGATGGAAAGAATCCTCTCAGCACCCAGGCAGAGAGGGTCTGAGGATGAAAAGATTTGGCCTGTACTTTTTGTGCCCTGCTGTATGCATTGGGTCCCACCTAAGCTGGCCTCCAGTGTGCCAAATGCTGGCCTGGGAAATTAGTCCAGTTCTTCATTTCCACTCACTGCTTTGCCCTCCTTTCAAGAAAATTGGGAGGCGGGGCTCAGACAGTGGATGAGTTCCTCCAGGAACTTATTTACAGTGTTGGAGGTTCGCTCACTGTGTGTGTCTTGTAAACTTTATCAAGTTTTTTTCAGACCAGGAGCTCTTTGAGCTCGGCGGTGCAGAGATCTTCTGTAGGCGCAAAATGAATGTCTGCCATGCGCAGCCCGAGGTTAAGCCAGTGGGAGTGTGAGCTCTGTGGGTCGGACAGGTGGAGGCAGTGGGGTTGTGTGTGTCGCAGCATCCTGGCAGAGGCCACCGCAGCGGCCAGTGCAGTAAGCCGAAAGGAGAGGCAGCTCAGGAGCCGGGGTGCCGTCAGTGACGGGTTTTGTTGTGTCTTCTCCCTGCTGGGGTCTAGTGGGGTCTGGCATCCAGCCGTGTGACTTTAGAACTGGCCCTTCTGGCAGGTCAGGGTCAAGCTGACCAGGCCCTGTGTTCCTTAGCGGGCCTTCGTTGGGCCCTTCCTGTGCAGAAGGAAGCTCAGGGAGACACAGAGGAAAGGACATTGCCAGTGGCCAGGCCCTCGGAGCTTCCTTCCTTAGCCGCCCAAATTCTCCTACAGCCAACCCCCATTTTCCAGCTGCTTGAGACTTGGTTGGTGCCTAATAATGTTCCTTTCTGAAAGTTGGTCTGACACAAGAAGGAGAGTTACAGTCACTCTGAATTTTATTCTCAACTGAAAATTTAGGCAAGCTTATCTGAATGATCAAGAGATGTAGGTGTTCTCTGAGGACAGAGGGCATATAAATAAGAAGTTGACTTTAATGATTATTAATTGTAATAAACAATACTCAGGTGATAAGTCAACATTTATGGGTTTAAAAAACCTACATTTTTGTGCTATTGTGTTTTAAGAAACTGGAAACATTGTGCCAATTGCTCTGAGTTGCTCTTAAGGATGATGTTCATTTGATAAATTCACTGATAATCCTTTTAAAATAATAGACTTCTGCTTCCTACAACTTTTTATACATGATTTAAAAAGTGCATTCCCAGAAGCTGCTGGTCAGACTCCTTTAGTGATGAAAGCCGAAGCTATTTTAAAACTGTGTATGCTTCCTCTGTGCCGTTCATCCGATGTGGAAAGTTTTTCCCCTCTCATTTTCACGAGTACAGACACTTAAGTAGGGGAAGGGATTCTTCTGGGAGTGTTGCAGTGTATGTCTAGATGTGTCACCTGACTGAAGACCAGAGACTTTTTTGTCAAAGGCTTTTGGAAACCCTACTTTGTCCTTACTGGGTTGAATTTTTGAATACTGGTTAGTTGGTTTTGTTTTTGTTCTCACAGTTTTCTTGGGAAATGGCTTGAAAGAATTGTTCCAGAGGTCTTTGGAGCTCCTTTGTAGAGTAGATGGGCCATGTGCGTGTGGACTGATGGAGGGTGGGGTTATTGGGGATTTGGGGTTCTGGTGCCCATCAGAATGGCTAACAGAGGGGCTCCCACACCCCATTGTTTATTTCCAGTTGCTCAGCGGTGCCTTCATTATGGGTGACCTCTGTGCAGTGCTAATTCCCCCCAAATTGTCACCTTCTGCCTTTTTAAGATTATGTGCTTATTTAATTTTGGCCAGAAGTTTACTACCATTGGTGCTTCCTGTTACCCTGCAAAGGGAATTCCAGAGCCTGTGTGCATTTAAGCTGCCTAGGCCTTTTTTCTCCTTTGACTGCCTTTCTAACGAGCATCTCATCTTGGTATGTATTCATGTCCTACCCCTCTTGGAAGTGAAAGGCGGTTTTAGTTATAACTAAGAAGGTTGTGACCTTGGGCCAAGACCCCACGTGTCCAGAGAGCACACTGGGCCCTCCTTAATCAGGTACAGTGCCAATGCCCCTGGATTCATGGCATTCTCTATAGGGTATTCTCCTTAATTTACTAAATCCCTTTGGCCTTGTTCTTAACTGTGTTTCTTGCCATCTTTAATATATTTGTAAAGCCTCAGATATTTTAATCCAGTTTTGCATTTTAGGCAGAAATGCGTTCTCTAATGTTAGACCTGCTTCACAGGACACAGATCTTTTGAATTGATGCTAGCCATTCTAAAGACCTCTCGCTCTTTTTTCTTTTTTTCACCCTTCCTCAGTAAATCGTTTGCAGAGGCGTTCATTTTGAAAGGAGGAAATATTTGGCTTTTACCAAAGAGGTGTTCTTTTTTTAAAAGCAAAATCCTTTCAGCAAAAACTTACTTGGGGAAGGGTGGATTAAGAATGCGTTTGTCCACATTCACTTCTATAGGTGTTTAATCATATTTATGTGAGTAAAATGTTGGAAGAATTCTTTTTCTTTTTTTAGAAGAATTCTTTAAGGTAATCCTTTGTGGTGAAGGATCCTGGGAAATTCTCTCAGGTAAAGAAAGCTTGGAGCAGATGGGTAATATATGTCTTGAGAGCTATTTATAAGAAATTTAAGGACTGTTTTGTTTTCCTTTATTAAAGATTTAAGGTTTTTTTTACTTTGCAAAAAAAAAATACTACAAAAGGTTTATAGTCATAACTTTGTTACTTTTTTTTTAACTTTTCTGAAATAATTAGATGTAGCCAAATTATGTGGTTATGTTTTCTATGTTAGAATTTGAAAATGTAATATGTGTGGTAAATCTACTGTTTGAAATTTATAATGCTCTCAGATATGGTTGGAGTTTTGGTAACTTTAAAAATGGTTATTGTTTTTCCTTTAAGTCACAAAGGCAACTATGGATTTATGTTTGTTATTTTGGATGCTAATATTTCTATGAAGCAGCTGAAGTTGACCAGTCTTTTCCTAGGTAGAAAACTCAAAACTTGTTAACTTTAATAAAATTGAAAACTGTTGTTTTTTCTCCCTTCTGTTGAATGAATTTGTAATTAAAGTCTTCCAGGTACTGTTTTCCAAAGATGTCTTCAGGTGTTAATTCGCTCTCTCTTAAGCTTCATAGAGTCTGTTCTGGTTCTAGAGAATGAAAATTCAAACAGGAAAACCCAAGCTTTTTGCCTTCTTTCTCTCTGAAAGCCCATGCAGCCTGCTTCCTTTTTCTTATTTTTATGATAACGACACTCTGTCTTAAATATGAGAATTAGAGTAAGTCTTTAAACAAAGTAGTGTGAGTTACCCTACATGGTTCTTCTTTTTCAAGATCTGGCTATTCTAGGTCTTTTGCGTTTCCCTCTGAAGTTTGGAATTAACTTGCCAGTTCCCTTGATTGGGATGGCATTGAGTCATTAGATCAATTTGGGAAGAATTGACATGATAACAACATTAAGTCTTCTGATGTATGATTGTATCTTTCATTTACATAGGCCTTTTAAAATTTCTTTAGCCGTATTGAATGATACTTTTGTTTTTATTAAAATATCTTTGTATGGGATTTAATCTTGATACTTCCAATCCTCATTTGTATGTGAGGTTAGTATCCTGATTTTTTTAATAGTATGTGTCGCATAA